GATGGAACAGCCATCCAGTGCTCCCTGGTATTCAGTGATGGCCAAAATAATATCAGCTCGTGATTCAAATCTTGCAATTGATTTTATATCGAATAAATCAAAAACAGGATCCCTGACCAATGATCTAATTTCAATACCTTGTAAGATACATATCGATGGTGCAGCTGAGTAAAAATAAGATCGCATATAATTTGTCACTTGTTACGAAATAAATTTCATTCATTTTTTTGTAGAACGACTGGTCTGTAGGCTGAGACTGAGTTGACAACGACTAGGTATATTCACCGACAATACTTGTGCCATATGAAAGATTGACTAAAATCACAAAACCCTGATAATTGAATGACCAAAAAACACAATTATTATATAATCTGAAATTCTGATTCTGCTTTGAGTCTGACTGGTCCATTACTACTGAGTCCCGATATAAATAATCTCTGATATTATCTATTTCCAAGGGGCTGTCATCCAGTTTGTATTATGCACTGATGTAAATCATCTCCAAAAGCTAGATAACTTCACATAAATAGCATAAATAAAAGAACAAAAATTATGTTACGAGTAATAAATTAATAACGAATTTCTCAAAAACATTTTACTACCCGACTTTAGTTTCTTCGTTTGTTCAACATTATTATTTTTGTTAGACTTTCTCAACTCCATCAAACCACGTGTTCTAATCGATTTAAAAGCACCAGTAGTACTACAGACAGTATTGCGTCGTAAACCAATATTCAAATTCTCTTTGCCAACTTTATTTGGATCCAAACAATTTTGATCATTTTTAGTAGATTGTTCATTTTCTTTATTGTACTGTACACTATGATGGCGACCACTTATACGCCGATTTTTCGATCCACTTAATAAAGTTAATCGGCCATTACCTTTTCTGTTAGATGACATGTTTTCTGTATCATTGGATGATAATCCATCATGCTTTTTCTTAGGCTTTGAGAAGCAAACATTTCAAACAGAAAGTGATAAGTGTGATAACGTAAAATAATGTAGACGTATAAATGTGAGTCAACAGAAAATATTAATTATTAATCTTCTTATTATCAAGCTTGTTAACCTGATCAGTATACAATAGCGTATGCACAGAAAGAATTTGTAATTCATCTTCAAAAATGTAATTTATGCAATGGAAAACTTAAAAAGTTTTTTCTAAGAACATGATAGTTTGCATTCAGTAACTTATACTACTGGTGACGTTAAACAGATGTTCGTCTGTTCGTTAACATGCAATCTGATAGCATAGTCATTTCTTACTTCTGAATGTTAATGTAGCCACTTGTAGTTTTAGAAGTTAGATATTAACACTGTTGGATACCGGCTCAGCGGTCTAGTGGTTAAGCGCTTGCGCGCTAGACTGATAGGTCCTGGGTTGGAATCTCGCGAGGCGGGATCATGGATGTGCACTGCTGAGGATACTGCTGATCGATACGGTTGACAATTTATCTCCAAATTCAGTCTTATTATCTCCAAATTGAGTTCTGACGAGCATGATGGGAGAGTTACAATATGCTTTGTTCAATTAGTGAGAAAAATCTTTAGAGGGAAAACTGTTGTTTTATATTTCACTATATGATAAATAAACCATATGAGAATGAACTACCAAAGTTTTTATTGACAAGTCCAATAGTTGAGTATTTTTAAATCACTCAATAAGGCTATTGTTTAAGACTATTTAAGTAAGACCACAAGTTGTGGTTGCTGATATGAATAAGTTTAGTTCTATACATGCCAATCTGTAAGTTTTATTGAACAGATAACTTTTCGATCAATAGTGAATAACTAAATCACTTTTCTATTTTAAAAATTGTTGTATCCAGACAAGAATTATGAATGGTAACTTTTGAGAACTATTTGTGGACCAATAGGATACATATATTTTTATTGTATAATTATTAAATAGCTAAAATATGCATATTCATGTTCCTCATATGAAAAGCTTTATTTTGACACATAGACTATTATTATACGATTTAATGTTCTTGAATTATACCCTTCCTACTAAATACAGTCTCCCACATTCACAACCACTTTTGTCTAGAACTTGTACAATGTGGTCTGTTTGGTTTTGTATGTAAACTCAATATGCTTGAAATACATGATTCATATCACGTAGTTTGAGATTGGCGTTCTGGACTTAACAGGCAGGATCCTATAAAAACTCTAAACTGTTCGTACGGGTTTTGTGCGTTATTGGTCCGGTCGATAAATCATTGTTCTCTAATTGCCGGTATCATTACGTTATATATAATAATAGGTCACAAGACCACAAGTTATAACAAAAATAATTTGCAAAACATTTATCAAGTCTATATAAAGTAACCTGTGCATACAAGTTCAGCTTTGTTAGGCAGAATGACATATGTTGTCTATTAAAATAGATCAATCCGAGCACGACGTTCAAAAGGTTGGCTCTAAACAAAAATAACCAGTATTAAGGTTTTGGACCAATTTAGTTTAGTTAAAGAAATTTGTAGATTAAAATAAATGGTGCCTGACTATATGATTCGTTACAAAGTATATTAGACAATATAACCATGAGCTTATAGTTAAAGGTATGCGTTTTTGGATGACATTTCTAAACAGATAAACGTTGAAAAAGATTTTTCTTTAAAATCTAAAGTCACTGATAGATTTTCTGTGTATCCATTTGAAGATCCAAATTGAAAAAGAAATACAAGCTGACAAAGGAACATTTAGTACGTGCACAATTTAAATGCCTCTTAAATGAACAAATATAAATAAATGGTAGCGATGAATCTAAGGAGTGTCTTATAAAAAATAACCACCTTTAAAGTAGATGGATTTCATAAAAGGAAAAGTATTTAATCATCTTGGTCAACTAAGCTTAGACATTTTTTCTTATGGAGTATCCTCCTTATAACAGTGACTAAACATTTTAATTGTTATCAGAAGGGGTTTTTTGTGGATGTTATAGTAATTTCAGTAGTTGAGATCATGAGTTAACTGAAGCTAGATCATCATGGAAAACCTGAAAGTACTGAGCAGTCGTTTCGTCCTATTGTGGGCCTCCTCAGCAGTGTGCATCCACGACTTCGCCTCTCAAGATTCCAACCGAGGATCTAACCGGTTCGCACGCGAGCGCTTAACTTCTAGACAACTGGACAGGTTGCCATTCAACGGTGTTAACGAATAACTTCAACTAATTCACGTGGATGCGCACCGTTGAAACATATCTAACAAGATCAATTTAATACAAGCAAATCCTTAGATGAATCCTTAAGATTGTTGGTAGAATACTGAAAGTTTTGGGACTACTTGAAATTCATCAAAAAGGAAACTGAATTTCGGTACAAATTTCAGTGATCTGATATCGTTATGCATTATACCTAGAGTCTGGTATTCTGAATCACAATACCCTGATTATTTGGCTTCCTTAGAATGAGAACACTGTCATTCTATTACTGAAATAAAAAGGGAGGTACTGGGAGGAATCATTATTTTATCATCCTTATAGAAATTACGTTTCGTGACTTCATTGATCAAACAGACCAAAGAAACTAGTTGGCGTGTATAACTTGAAGACTAGAAGTTTTTAGAGATGAATGTTTACGGGGCAAATGTTCTAAAAATATACTTCCTTTATATGACTGATCAATCACTGAGGAGTGGTGATAATGCCCGTGATTATGAAGCTAAGTGAAAAGGGATCAACTCCAATAGAGAGGAATAGTTCTTTCAAGATTATAGGTGTATCTTGTTGGTGAGTTTCAAATAGCACGAAACCCAGGACTGGGGTTTCTGTCAACTACCTCCAACCACCACCCTAAATATACTCTCTTAGCTTTATTTATTTAAAGACGATTCAAAGAAAGGTGCAAAAATAAGGGGTGTGGCGTATAAATGAGTTTTGATTGCAGAGGTTCTATGACAATTAATTTTCCACTTTTTTAAACCATCCTTAGGTACTACAATTAAACTTCCGTTAGAAGATCTGACTTACGGAGTAGGGTTTTAAAATAACAGTATACAGAATTAGAAGTAAATACAACAGATGTCGATCGTCAGGATACTCGTTTCCTCACCTAGTACATAGACTCATATTGTTAGTGTGTAAAATATAATACTACTGTTTATTCATCTACCTGACTAATCGAAAGTAACTGATTAGTCATTTTTTTAGTGTATTTATTTCAATAATATTTCCGATCAAAGCAGAGTACTGTCTTTCTATGTCCCCCTTGCATGAATGTAGTACGAAATACTAAGAAAGGAATTATCATTTACAATCGGTAGGTATTCATCTATGTATTTTATTTGGTACAAGTGTATTCAGATACCATTATCATTAATTGTCGAACAGTATCATATACATTTAATCAAATACAATTTGAATCCCTGATAGATACGCCATAAATAAAACAGGAAATATGCGTTGATTGTAATTTTATTAACCACCCAATGATAAATCAAAAAAACTGTTCATTATAAAGAGATTAGTTGTTCTAACATATTGCTTGGCGAATTTTACTATCAAACATTTAGTCATAGGATCGAGTTCTTTATTACTTACAACAATTGAAGCAGTAAGTCATTCTTGTCATTCTTGAAAAAAATAGATATCCTTATAATAGTTTAACAAATGAACAGTCTGTAATGAAAATGAAATGTATAAGAGAGGTTTTAAACTGCATACATTTTTAATATGAATTAGGCAAAGTTTAGAAAGATTAGTTTAATACTGAAATATACACATTAATGAATGAGCAAATAGTTAGTCAAAAGAAAAGACTATCCTAGACCGTGTAAACATAGATTACTTACAAATTCCCCAAAACTTCTTACGAAACACCAACCACCTGTTGAAGAAGACGATGATGATGATGATGATGGTGTTCGCTTGTCAATATATTTTAATCCACAAGATGACTTATGTAAAGTCTTTTTAAAAGTGAATTTATGTGTAACTATTGTTGGTGATCTATGTTTAAAACAATGTATCTCACAGAATTTTATATGCTTTAAACAAACTGACATTATTTATAAGTGCCATTAACAACAACAACAAAATTAGAAGGAATGATACTTGGTGTGATGTAAAAGTTGTCACATTTACAAATCATAAAGAAGAGACATATATCATTTTTAAGATATTTTAATCTATTAAATCAATTAAGTTTCTTTTGTTAAAATGACAACTATAAAAGGTGCACATATATACCCATTAATCCCTTTCCTATACCACTTGTTTTTCTGTGTATGAACATTCTGTACACAATTAGTTTATTATCGTATAAATTAAACGAGTAATTTCATATCTCTATGACTCATAATTTAGGGCAATCATCATGGAATAGATCTCTTAGGTGCACGTAACTATTCAATAGAATAATCAGACAATTGGTTAGTTTACTTTAACAAGTGCATTCTGTTAATCTACACATGTAAATAATCAATTCAGTATTACTATTATTACTATTAAAACTTATTGATATTATTGTTATTAAAACATATTGATAGATGTCAGTCCTTTGTATTCTACTGATTATTATACCCTATAAGTTATTTGATTTCAACTCAAATTATATCTGTGTCCGATTACACAGGTAGGTGATCTTTTAAAGCTAATTATGATTATCAGTATAGGGGTTGTGAAGATTGTTAAGTTTTTGATTTAGGTCGTGAATCACGGATTAGCTCCACTGGTCACGGCTTCGAATCTCGCCGGGAGCGGGATCGTGGATGCGCACTGCTGAGGAGTCCCATACTAGGACGAAACGGCCGTCCAGTGCTTCCAGGTTTCCAACGGTGGTCTAACATCAATTGATTCATGATCTCAATCAAATAATGACTTTTTTTTCATTTCCAGTTCAGTTAGTTATGTTGATAGAGGTATACAACTATTCTCAGTGGATAATGGAATTAAGCATCACTAACTGTTTGTCGTCAAATTACAGGAAAGGTGATACTGATAAGCTTTTTGTTAGAGAATCTTTAGATCAATTGATAAATTAGTTAACCTGTATATTGATTATTTTGATTCACTGAAAACCTTCATTCACAGATATTCATTTTGATGTAAGTCAAAACAGAGTCGGGTTTTGTACGCTATTTTTTTGTATGAAAATGTGTAGGCACATTTGTTACTGGGATAAGAACTAAACTTAACTCCATATACTTCATTTTTATCGAATTTTCGGGTAGTACTCTCTGGTGTCACATTAACATTGATATATAACAGTGTGAGATGTTTTAAAAAAGAAATTGATAAGATTGCATTCTTTCTTAAAGTAGTGATTATTCATTGAGGCTTTTAAATAATAGATATACAAATATATAATGTAAACTGTCAAAAAGATGTATAACAATAACAAAATAATCCATTGACTGGATGTCTGGCACAATACGTGCTTTTTGTTTGAATTAATTTCTAGTTTGAATTATTTTTTCAGGTCAGCGTTTTTTTAGTGAGTTAGCATTCTACGGGATGGGATCGCTAACCCCATGTTTAACTCTCCGCCTTTATACCGGCTTGAAACCGGCAGTAGCCACAGGGTGTCTCCAGGTGGTGACCTATGCTCCATTAGGAGTGACAGGCGTAAGTAAGTAATTTCTAGTTTACAGTGTATATTGTGAATAACGCCAACTTTGAAAACTCGTTGTTTTTGGAAGATTTGAGCAGAAATATGAAGTCTAATACAGAAACCTTATCACTGAAATATTAAAATTGCAGTGTCGGTTATCATATTAAGCTCATATGCCTTATTCTAGCTTTCGGACAGCCCATTCTATTCATTCTACTTGAGTCACATTGTGACCTTGTTATTTATTCGCCTATCAATCTTGACTGTTTTTTATATGAGCGCGTAGGTGTGTGTACATTTCTTATCCCATCACTCATCACATGTCTGTAACATGTTTTTGTGTGACTATAAATATTGATTAACGATTGACAAAATGGAGTTGGCTTACCCGCCATCTCCACTGCGCGTCGTTTCGCTTCTCTCTGTTCTATTCGCTTTATAAACAAAATATATGTATCCAAAAGTCCATTCTCGTTATTTGACTTAATTAATTCCGTTATTGACTAACGCGATTTAAGTCGATGATTATATACGAGGGTAGGCGATATATATATATTTCAATAACAATCATTCATACGATCAAACTGGAGTCAGATCTCGGGCCACTAAAGTGGAGAGTCCGTCGACAACATCGTCCAATCTAAATGACGACAAAATAAAGCGCCCCACAGAATGATGATTTACGTAAAATGAAATTGGCTACTACTAGCTCTACTGAAATATATGTTTTGATGATCAGTATTCAAAAGTCACTAGTCACTTTGTGACTTTCAACACTAATCATATAGTTTGTAAATAAACTGTAGTTTTTATTTTTCAGACAGAATATATTCTTAGTCAACTAGTCAGTAGATTTACCTTCTGAAATATATTCAACAAGGAATCAGGACAAGTTTCGTGAGCAATTACCAACTAGGTTTTCAGTGCTGACAGTTCAGACATCATGAGTTAATTATTGATCATGGAATATTAATCACAGGTTTTCAATGAAATAGCTCAATCGTAATTTATTCATTATAAGAAATCTACCTCTTAAAGGTTAACTATAATATATATATATATAATGGATTTGATTCACAGTCAACCATGGTGGTCTAGGCTTCTTCAATAAACTCATGAATTTAACTATTTAAAGAAAAAAAGTTATATATATATATATATATCAGAATGGGTTTTGTGGAGGTTTTTAGAAGTTTCACAGATTGAAATCATGTGTCAATTGAAGCTAGACCTGGGTTCGAATCCCTCGGGGTGTGGGGTCGTGGATGCACACTACTGAGGAGTCCCGTACCAGGACGAAACGGCCGTCCAGCGCTTCCAGGTTTTCCATGATGTTCTAGCTTCAATTGACTCATGATTTCAACCTGTGAAATTTGTATATATATATATATATATATATATATATATATATATATATATATATATATATATATTGACAGAAAGCTTTACATTGCCTGGATTCTATTGATTTTTCTTATATAGTTCACAAGTCAACTTATGTAACATTCATTGTGAAGTGAGTTCTATTCATAGACATATTAAGTGATCAATGATTGTTAAATGTTTCTAAAAGAATTCTTCTTCCTTTTTTCTTCTTTATGATTTAAGCTGACACCATGTTAACGGGTGAACTGATATGCTTAATTACAGAAATCGATTAACTACGAAGATAAAAAAAATTATCTCCACAATAGCTTGTTGATGAACAAACCCATTATCTCCTATTCAAATAGATCAATATTAAGAAGAAAATTTTTTATTTTATCATTGTATAATCAAAGTAACACATTTTGAAAGCAAAATAATGCAGATTATTTATTTATTTGAACACATAAATATTGGTACATAGAGGCACCGAATAGATATACGCCACACAATTCACTTGATTTGTGTTTGAGCTGTGCTACTGCCCGGATGCTCAGACCGAGGCAGCTGGTTTTCTTAGGGGGCCACACCCGGAGCCATCGACCTAAAGGTCTTATCCACAAGGCAGTGGAGCAACATCAAGAGATTCAGTCATATTGTAGCGGGTGACGAAAGATGAGATTGATACGCCATTTGATTCCTTAGGATCCTAGAGCTCATGTGCACCACTGGTTTGGAATCAGGGTTTTCCAACTCCCCTAAGTTGATCCTCTATATCCACCGACCTGGTTAAAGTACCGGACATTCGCTTTTCATCCTCTCATTTTCGTAAACAACACCCCGCCATGAGGAAGCAGTGGGTAGGACTTCCCTGGCAGTGGTTGTATGCACGTAGCCATGTGAGAGCATTTCGAGAGGGAGAGTGAACTATTCACACTCTCGGCCGTATCAGGGCATTTAGGGGCAAATAATGCAGAATGTACACCTAATGCGAATTCTATACGAAATATAGTTCACTCACTATGATTTATCTCGAAATCATGACGCTAAGGATATTTCAAATAATAGGAACACTTAGGTCGTTCAAGTTACCTAGAATATTGTAGATTTCATTCACATGATAACATCATTTTGTTGATATTTAAGAGAGTTTGCAGTGAAAAAATTGTAAAAACTATGAGAACTTATTAATGAAATTATTTATACACAATAGAAGATAAACATATACCGACTCGTAGAATAAATGAGTTGCTTTAAAGTAATTAAAACCGATTAAAAAGTTGCGTGAAATCCACCGTTGGAGTCTAAATGTTATCACATTTTCTGATACATATAGTCAGTTTGAAGGTGTTTATGCTGGTCGTATAAATTTCAGAATCAGATTTAACATCACTCAAGTTGAAGAATAAAGTATACTTTCCAGCTTAAATCCTGTTATATTTCATATGCATAATCATTGTAAAGTGGATATTGTGGTCCACTAATATTAAGCTAATGTTGTAAACGTCAGGTGAAATGTTAACCGAAAGAATTATGTACGGGTTTTTAGATAAACATCAAAATGTATTGTCAGATTGTCTAGGAAAATAATGAATGACACTGAATAACTAATAGATGAAAAGACTTGATTTCTATTTAACTCCATTTCGAACATAATCATATATGAATATATACTGAGAAATATCACAATATCAAAATAGTTACCGGTTGATAACAGACTATTTATTAAAATTCTTAGTATAGGTAATAGGACTTTACAGTTCTAATTGATCATATTACCATATAAAAGATGGTCAGATTAAAACAAAATACTTTATGAACAGTATTTCACCATAGAGAACTGGGTATTTGTCCTAGTAATTTGACGGTGAGTCAAGAACTAGACCTGTTTCTATCACTAACTTATAAGCAATATTTTTTAAAACTTAACAGTATGCAAACTTTCTTAGTTAGTTAGTTCTCTTTCTGCATTCAGACTTCAATTGTCTAACATAGATTTATTCAATACTTGCTACTTGTTTCTTATGTACAATTATTAACAGGGTAGATTAGACAAGCGCTTGAAAAAAATAGGAAAAATCCACGTTTTAAAACTATCGACAACATAATGCCTTTCTACTGCTTTGTCGATCTCCTACATTAATAATCATATAAGAGGAAACATTTTACGAGTCAGTACTAAGAAGTATATAGAGAGATATTTATGATTAATGATAGGTTTAATGAGTTAAAAATGAAAATTTATAACATTGATTAAATCGATAATAATCCAGGAACTGATGTTCACTTCTAATTTCCATTAATTAGATCTAATGATGAG